AAACAGGAAATGAGAGGTATCTGTCTCTTCAGATCTGAGCTTGGAAACTGGAGCACTCTCACTTTAGCTACATTCTGTTGGCAAAGCCATGACCTATTCAAGAAGAAGGGACAAATCACACCTCTCAAGAGTAGTAGTATTAAAGAATCTGTAGACATCTCTATTCTTCCCCAAAGAGTAACTAGGAAAGAGAAATCCTGGGGAAACAGAGGAGAGGCAAAGGCAGTTGGGAAGGTGATGTGAAAGACACAGAAACAGCCAGGCCAGACTGAAGGCCACAGAAGGGGAGCTCCAGGATGCATGAGTCCACAGGGGGCTGGAGGGAGCAGGACAGGGATTACCTGACAGGTCTGACCACACTGAGGGGAGTGCAATTGTGACAGATGTGTCTAGTGTGGGAGTCAGTAAGTGAGGCATGTATAGAAAACTAAGCAAATGGATAAAGGGCATGATGGCTATCTCCAGGGAAAGAAATGAAAAAGTTATGACAGAAAGGAATGAAATATGGTGTACCAGGGACTGGCTAGGAATAATATTTATATGGTCATAATAATCTAAGTCTGGGTATGATATAAGTAAAAATAGCAGTACACTGATCTTCAGAGAATAAGTTATAGTGAGAAATCTTCATTTTCTGTGACAGAAACACAGTTTTATAATCAAAAAGAGACAGGCACAGGGGTTTAGCTTAATGGTTGACTATGTGCTTAGTAGTCTTGAGGCCCTGGGTTCAATTCCTGGCACCAAAAATATTTTTTAAAGTGCTCATCCAAGCAATTACTTAGGAATACGGAATTAAAGAACATAGGAATAATAGGAAAGAATTAAAGTGGTTACCCAAGAGGAAAGGAAATGAAATAGAGAGGGGTCTGGCAGGTGAAGGGCATTTTCATTACAAACTCAGTATAATTTATTAGGTATGTTCACACATTACATCAATGAAGAAAGGACACATAGTAAGATCCTGTTTAATATAACAAAATAATGTCCACATGTGTATCAGAACTCAGAAGTTAAAAAGTTCCTACAAATATGCAAATAGATTAGAAGTGGTTTGGGAACCAAATATCTACCAATAGATGAACACACAAGCAAAATGAGACATGTACCCACAATGGAATAGTATTTGGCCTCAAAGAGGGAGGATTTCTGACATGATACAATATGGATGAAACTTGAGGACATTATGGAAAGTAAAGCAAACCTTCTACAAATGGACAAGTTCTGTATGATTCCTAGAGAGGAGGGACCTAGAATAGTCAGATTCAAAGAGAAAGAAAGTAATATTATGGTTGCCAGGGGCTGGGGTAGAGGCAACAGGAAGCCCTTGTTTCATGGTACAAAGCTTCCATTTGGGAAGTCCTGGAGATGGTGGTGATGGCTGCCCAGCACTATGAATGTACTTAATGCCACTGAACTGTGCCCTTAAAAATGGTGAAGATGGTAAATTTTAAGTTATGTGTATTTTACCACCACCACCACCACAACAACAACAAAAAAAAGGGTTGGAGGAGGGAACATTTTAGGAAACTTTCAAATTTTCCCTATTATTTGACTCTTCATAGTGAGAATGTGTTCATGAAGCACTTGCATGGATAAACAAGACTAAAGGAATAAGCTGAACAGGAAAAGTTAAAAGATAAGTTCAAATGCTCTTGGGAAGGAAAGAGAAGGGAATGAGGAGAAAGAAGGGGAGAGGGAGCTGCCAGGAGAAGGGGAGGGGAATCTTGAGGAAGGGCATGGAAAGATCTCAGGGAAGGGAAACATTAAAGGGGCTCTTTAAGTTGTTCCACTGAGGGATGTGTGCCACTCCCGTATATGAGCATGCCTGTACCCGAGCATGCCCACTCACCAGCCTTATGAGAACTTCTGTTCAACAAAAAAAGTAAAAAATGTTTCAAAAAGCCAATCTTGTGATGTTGGTTTTCACATTCCCTACAAATCCTGATGGGAGCATTGTATCAGGCCATTTTCTGTTACTATAACGAAATAACTGAAGCTGGGAACTTTGTAAAAGAAAAGAGATTTGGCTCATAGTTCTGGAACTCAAGGCCTGGCATGGGCTTCTGCTCAGGTCTGGAGAAGATCTCATGGTGGATGGCGTCACAATGGGAGAAGAGATCCCATGGAAAGAAGGAAATCAGAGAATGGGGAGGGGCCAGTCTTGTGACCTCCCACTAGGTCCCCAAAGAGCTTTTAGTTGGTGTGTTATATCTATTATATCTATACCATTGGAAATCATAACCAAGTTTTTCAAGTATTCTTCAAGACCCCACCACCTCTCAGCTAGGGACTGAGCTTCCAATACATGAGTCCATAGGGACAGAAACCACATCCAAACCATAGCAAGCCCTTAAGTCACCCTCCTGTTGTTGGGGCAAATAGTACACTCTCACTGTATGCATTATAGGGTAGGATGGCCCTCAGCAAGCTGGGACAGTCCCAGAGTCTGGGGGACACGCTAACAGAAAAAAGTGAGGGTAAGCTAATCTTTGAGAAAGGGGAGAAGAATCCCGAGAGGGGGGCCTGGGCTGTGACCACAGAGTTTCTGGGAGCAACCTAGGAACAAACCCTTGCTGGAAGGAAGGAGGGCAGGTATGCAAAAGAAATTTCACCACCTCTTTTCTTTGGGAAGGAAACTGTTTCCTGGGCTCTCATGTCCTGAGAGTGGCTGACCCTGTTCAAGATTTCCACTATATACACACCGCCACACCACACCCCAACACCCTCATAACTTCAAAGGCCCATTGGGGTGTGGGGGGACTAACCGCAGAAGGCCTTCCCTGGTCTGGGGAGTGGTCCAGTTTATTTCTGGCCTTCTGTGGGCATTTACATTAGCAAGATGTTAATACATCCAGAGGTAAGATCACTATCTTCTAATCTGGAGAGGAACCTGAGGTACAATGTGAACTTTCAAACTTTCATGACAAAGTTTTTCTGATATCAAATAGATATCAGAATCTTTAACCATTTGGGGAAAAAAGAATATGAAATGTCTATGCTATTACTACAACTCTGAAATCATGAAGTAAGTAAACAAGAAATAGAAAGAATGGCAAAGTGTTTGTTAAGGTAACAAGATGACTTTTTCCTTTTTTTTTTTTTTCCCCTTATCATATGCAGCCAGTGTGTCTCCTCAACAGTTCCTCGTCTACGCTCATGATGACCTACCAGGACAGATACTCTCCTCATTCTGAGGTGCAGGGGAATGGAACCCTCTGTCTCCTGCAGGCTAGGCAAGTGTTCTACCACAGAGCCACACCCAGCAGCCGTGAGCCCAGTGAGGGGGAAGTCCCCCAGTGGCCAGTGGTGGTCACACAGGCTCAGCAACCAGGCTCTGCATGCTAGGCTGGCTGCCTTTCTCTGGGTCCCTGCACTGAGGTGGTATTAGGTCACTAGGAAGTGCCTTCTACTTGGCCAAAATCAGTATCTTGGATCTTTGAATTCTGTCCCATATTTTAAACTGCAGTTATTTAACTTGAAAGGGCAAAGAGGCAGTAGCCCAGGAACACATTAAGGAGTGTAGAAGCAGATAGGCAGAGAGGGCTTTCACACCCTTCAAATTTAGTCCCCAAAGAGCTCTGAAATCATTACATTTTTTTTTCAAATATTTAAATCATTTGTAAGTAACAATAGGTCCATTAAGTGTGTCTGAAAATAACTATTTTCCAAAGCAAAACAAAAGTAAGATATATTTCCCTTTAATGTCTGTCTTAACAGAAGGCAGTTGGGGTCTCAGTCTCTGCTCCTGTGTTTAATTTGCTGGAAAACTATGCATCATGTAGTCTCTGGAAGCTGCCACTGTACAATAGTTTAAGAATGAAACTGAAAAAAGCCAGTAACAGTTGTAAAAATAAGTTTGAATTTGGTGAACCTTCTTAAAGGGTCTTGTGTACCCCGTGGAAACTAGCAACGCACTTTGAGAACCATGACTTTAAAAACTATGTGTGGGGAGACCCTCAAGGACATACCCATCCTACACCTCCCACTTTCAACTCCCTGAAACTCCCACCTCCCTTCTGGGTGACCCTCATGCAGGAACACATATTCCTCTCCAGGGACACGTTGACTTGTACTCAAGCCATCTCCTTCCCTGTCAGCCCAGCACTTTCTTAAGAGAGAACCTGTACATGCGCTAACTGGCCGTGAGCCACTCAGCCAACACAGCGACATGTCCAGTTTGGGTCTGTTAGAGCTGCGCAGTAACGTGGATTTCACATATTCCTACACGCGTGGAATATAATTCGCTCCATTTCGACCCCTAGTTTCACTCTTCACCCTCATAGTGACATTTGTTATGCTAAAACTCTGAAATGGCTCTAGCTGGTCTTTTCAGACCCCTGAAAGGAGCCAGCCCCCTTGCCCCAAAGGGCACAGGAGAAAATAGAGCCCACAGGAGGCAGTGCCGAGTTCTGGTCTGGACTTGCCAGTAACTGAGCCATTTTCTCCACCCAAAATGAATTGCACGAAACTTCCTGCCCACCTCTCAGGGCTCTGGTGGCATCAAATGACATTGTAGAACCTAACCCCTCGCCCCTTATAACCAGAGTACACGTGCTGCTGTCCAGCTGCCCACTCTGCACACAGTACTCCGGGGGGCACTGGGAGTCCTCAGCCCTTGACCCGAGGCACGCCCTGGCAGGGCCAGTCCATCCCTGCGGCCCACACCATCTCCTTTTCTTACCCCTTGTGCTCACCAGGGGTAGGACACGGCGGGGTGGGGACTCTGAGAAGCAGGTTTAGAATCCTTTAGGCCAGTCCTTCCCTCCACTCAGCGGAGCGCCAGTCACTGCGGCGCAAGGTGCGCGGCGCCCACCTTTCGCCCCCACTCTTCCCTGACACGTGGGGGAGGGAAGCCCCTCATCTGCAGAGGTGACGATCAGGTCTGTCACACTTCACGCAGGCACACTTCACGCCGCCCTCGCGCGGAACTTGCCACTGGGACGCCCTGGGGACTGAGGGGACACCGCGCTGACAGGGGCTGCGATCACGGGCAGTACCTGTGCCCGAAGAGCGGGCAGCCGCCCAGAAGCCTGCGCAGCTCGTTCTTGAGGCTCCAGAACTCGCCGTCCAGGCAGCGGTGCAGAGTGGAGTCCCCGAGTCCCAGGTCCTGTGCCGGCTCCATCCCGCTGGCTTCTGGCTCCGTGCGTCCTAGGAGCTCCCCGGGGTGGGAACTGGAGGGCACGCCCTCTGCGCCTCACCTCACCAGGCCCCTCTCCGCCCGCTCACCGGTCCTCTCCCTGCTCACCCGCTCACCCGACTACTCGACTACTCCCTCCCTCCCCAGCATCGCCCTGCACTGAGCCCCTCCTTGGGTGCAGAACAAAGAACTTTCCTAGGTGCTCTCTATCTCCTTGTGCTGGGCTGGTCAGTTGTCCCTCCAGGTTTGTAGGTCACAAGAAACAATATGTGAGTCTTAGGAGGGGTGCTGGTCTGGGGTCTGGGCGCTGGAGTCTTGTAGACTTAGAGCTAAGCCCCAATGAACGGCTCCCAAGATCCAAGAGCCCCTGGTCATGGCTCTGGGCCCAGCTCAGCTGCACTGTGGCTCCAATCCCTGCCACCACCAGCCGGGTATTATGTTTCCATGATTAGGAGGGGACCCAAGCCTACAGGACTACCATCCAGGAGCTGGGAGCTGCAACTGGAACGCTCACCTCTTCTCCCAGAAAACTCCCTTTCTGTCCTTGTCATGGCCAGTGACAAATAAGTTCTAACTTAAGTGGAAAACGTTCCTTCCTATCTTCTAACTCTCATATGCTTTATTGACTCTCCATTTAAATACACAGGAAACATTAGCTGTTCCCCTTCTTCTAAACACTAGTTTACTGACCAGATGACCATTGTGGGTGTGGCCAGCTGTCCTTAGGTTAGGGGATGCCATCTGTATGAGTTTGTTTTGGCTGCTGTAACAAATTACCACAAACCAATTTCCTTCAGACAACACAAGTATATTCTCTTGAAGTTCTGGAGGCCAGAAGTTCAAAATGGGTCTTCCAAGGCTATTCAAATCAAGGTGTTAGCAGGGCTGGTCACCCTCTGGGAGCTTCACAGGGAAATCAGTTTCCATGTCTTCTCCAGCTTCTAGAGGCTGTCTGCATTCTTGGCTCCAGGACACTTCTTGTCTTTAATATGCATCACTTCAACCTCTGCCTGCATGGTCCATCTTCTTTTGACTCTGATCTTCCTGCCTCCCTTTGATAAGGACCCATTTACATTGGTCCCACCCAGGTAATCCAAGATAGCCTTCCTGTCTCAACGTCCTTAATAGCAGCAACATCACTTTTGCCATATAAACCAACACATTCCCAGGTTCCAAAACACTGGCTTTGAACCTGGGATGGAAGGAGCTTCATATTATATTTGACATTTAACAAAATTGTCACCACTCATGGCTAAAGAGCTCATGGCTCTAGGAGACACTGAAAGCACAAGGTGAATATTGCCATTGGCTGTGTCTGACAAGGCATTATAAGCTTTGTCACCAGCTTAGAAGAGACATCGTCAGTTTGCAAGCAGGAATGGAAAGTTCAGGGATTTTCAGGATTGGAAGAGGCAACTGTTTCCTAACTACTAGCAACAAAGATTAAACCTCAGAAGCATATTTGTGGCAATAAAGACCAATTAAAACTCAAGACCCTGGGGCTGGGGTTGTGGGTTCAAGGATAGAGCTGCCTAGCATGTGTGAGGCCCTGGGTTGGATCCTCAACACCATATAAAGAGAAGTAAATAAAGGTATTGTGTCCATCTACAACTAAAAAATATTAAAACAAAACAAAACAAAACAAAACCTCAAGACTCTCAAACTCTACACACTTGCCCCTGTGGTAAGAATAGAATCAAATGTCTGACATCAACCCTTGTTGATGGACTTCAGGGATGCCCAGCAAGCCACCTCTTCACTCCCAGGCCCTGTCTATCTGAGCAACCCCCATCTGAAGGATCACAGGCTGCTACATCAAAGTACAAGAGAATGGGTCAGATCCCCCACTAGCTGATAAAGGGCACCCCGAAGCAACAAGCTTATTCTGGCCTATCCAGAAGATATTAGAAGAATCAGTGTGCCCTAAGACTACCACCTGTTCTGTGAATGTTTTATAATAATAATAGCAAGGAAAAGTGGTCAAATAAATGATCCAGTAGAAATCCCCGGGTTGCCTTGGCTTATCTAGTTCCCATGGCCACTGGGTTAGTTTTGTAGGGTTGCCATACAAATGAGCACAAACCAGTTGCGGTAAACGACAGAAATCTATTTTCTCATGGACATGGAGGCCAGAAGTCTGAAAAGAAAGTGTCAGCAGTGCTTTGATTCCAGGGAAGAACCTTCTCACCTCTGCCCAGATTCTGGTGGCTCCTGGCAATCTTGGCCATTCCTTGGCGTTAGCTCATCTCTCTGATCTCTGTCTCCGTCTTCACAGGCCCTCGTCCCTGCGGTCTGTGTGTCTTTAAGTCTCCTTCTTCTAAGATGCACACCAGTCCACCTCAACTTAATCACATCTGCAAAACCGTATTTCCAAATTTTTAGGCCACATTCTGAAATTCCACATGGACGTTAACTTTTTTCGGTAACAGTATTCAACCTAGTATACCCACCTCAAGTTAATCACTGACGAACAAGGGAAGAAAAAAAAACATAATTGGCTTAGAACTTGGGTTTGTTTCTGCATCAACCATGCATCAGAGTAGCCTGCGATTTTTTTTTTTTTGAATGCTCAGTAAGTGGCAAAACCCACATACCCTGACCAATAAATCTAATTTCTAGAGATAGGTCCTAGACATCTGAATTTTTTAAAAGTTCTTCTTCATCCCCAGTGATTCTATTGGGTAGCCAGGGCTGAGACATTGGTTCAGACTCTGGTTCTCAACCCTGCTGCATAGTGGAGTCCTACAGTGTTAGAACAATTGGTGAAATTTAAACAAGATGGATTACATAATATCACTGAGCCAGCGTTGGTTTCTGATTTTGATCATTGTACTATGGGTCTTGAAATGAATGTTATTGTTTTTAGGAGTAAATTGAAGTGTTAAGAGGTAACAGGGTAAATTTCTCTAAAGGAGTCAGAAGAAAAGTGAGGGGGGGGGGATGCACATGTGTACACAAGTATATATGGAGAGAGAGGAAAAATCAAATATGGCTTCTCTAAACTAACATATTAGCCAGAACTTTCTCAGTTATAAAGCAATTTGAATTCTCTTCAGCAAGATGGAAATATATTGGCTCATAAAACTCCAGAAAAACTTGGACATCATACTTGGGGAAGGTCAGAAGGTCACACTGAGACCAGGAGCCTCAACTCTATCAGTCTCACTCTCCGTCTCTGGATCTCTCTCCCTCTCTTGTCCCCCCTCCCCTAAATCAGGCTGGTCTCTGGGGAGACCTAAGTCCCCAGCAGATAGATACTAGAGGCTCACAGTTTCCCAGCCCCACATTCCTCAGCTTTCGCCATCAGAAATACTTTCGTTTCTTCCTCATCTCCAATTGTGATAATTTGACTTTGATTGACTCAGTGTGGGTGGGGTATTGCACTGACCAGCCAGCTGCTGGAGGAGAGGAGTGTCCCAAGCAACTATGAGAGGACATGGCTACCCTGCTGTGGCTGGTGAGTCTGGTGGGAAGTGTTGCCCACTCCACCACCCGCCCAGCTGCTCTACACAGCAATATCCAAAAAAGCATTCTGCTAATAATTCTCCTTCTAGGCGGTCAGTAGCATATGAGCGGTCAAAGGACAACAAGTAGATGTGCCTGCTTCCCTTGGCCAGGCTCCGAGATCCCTCCATGAAAAATGCTGGGGAAGACCTGGGGAGAAAGGTGGAAGTAAGAACCCGGGAACAAAGGAAGTCAGTGGGTTTGTGCTGAGGATGGACTCATCCACAGAGGCTGATATCTGGATGATATCCATAGGGGCTGCCTGACAGTACAAGCCCGAGGACATAATGCTGCCTTGGGCTTTGCTCTTTGGTGCTCCTGGGCCCTGAGGCAAGGCAGGGCCCTCAGCTGGGGATTTACAGAGGAGTCTTCATTTAGCAGCTAAGTGGGTCTTGACGTGGATCTGGTGGGCAGGTTTCTTTTAAGCTGCACCCATAGATGAACGACCAGGAGTGCTGACTGACTTGCCCAAGGGCACACAGCTCTTGGTGGCCTCCCAAACACCCTATCCAGGGCTCACACAACTCAAAGTCATGCCCTATGTCACACTGCTCTAACCTGAGGGGCCTCAGTGAACTTTCTGGATGCTGCTCTTATGGAGGCCTAGGGCACAAACATTACACACTACCTTTAGGACTCAAGGTTCTGTGGTCAGAAGTAGCCTGTTCCCAGGGGCACTTCAGTATGATTTGTAGAGGTCATGGAGCCATAAAATGTTAAGAGTTGGGGGCTGGGGTTGTGGCTCAGCAGTACAGCACTCGCCTAGCATGTGAGAGTGCTAGGTTTGATTGTCAGCACCACATAAAAATAAATAAATAAAGATATTGTGTCCAACTACAACTAAAAAAATGTTAAGAGTTCCAACCCCTGGGGCTTGTCCAACTAGTCCTTCTTTTCAGATGAGAGTGTGGCATCTTATGGGTCATCTGGCCACTGCACTGAGGTTTGAAGAGAGAAAAATGTGGATATCGTAGTGTCTGCCTAATTACCAATACTGCCCAGCTAGAGTACTTCTGGAGTTCTAGTAAAGGTATTTTACTACTCAGATTTACCTGGCCCCTGCCTATGCAGAGCTTAGCCCCTGACCAAGCCCTTCCATCCTTCTTCTCTAGGAACCTTGAGGGGCCTTTCCTATAGATCATGATCACCTCTGCTCCTCCCCACCCCACATGCAGCCCTGGGCTGGGATAGAAGGTACTGTGTGGGGAAAGGAACCAGGAAACACAGCTTTCCTTCATGTCATCACAAGGGACAACATTTGCAATGGGAAAACTGGTCTTCCCCAGTGTTTTTATGTAAGTAAGCCTTTTACTTACTGTTCTCACTTATACCAAGTGCTAGACAGGAATCCCGGGAGAGGGAAGGGACAGATTCCTGAAACAGCCACCATGCTGTCAGCAGGAATGAGCTCGCCTCCAAACAGCCATGGCTTCATTATGAGATCACCCCTGATACACAGCCTCTTCTCCCCAGGATGAGAGCCTTCCCACAAGTGGACTCTGATGGACTCACTCTGGCCTCCATGAGGCCCACAGGCACAAGTGGCCTCCTGCTGGGAACACATGCTTATGCTCCTTGAAGTCCC